TATCAATAAGTTGTACGTTCAACCATGGCACTCGTAGTTGCTTACAGTCATCAAGTTAATTTTGATTCTCTTGCTTTTCAGTAATAAACACAAATGAGATTTTTGTGACATTGATTATTAATATGATTTGGTGACAACTTTAGTAGATATTGATTTTTGGAAAACATAAACCAATTTGACCTACTTAAAGCAAATTTGATTCCAGCTAGATGAAATGTACAAGAGGTACTCAAGCACTGGTGTATTGTGATGAAACAGGTTATTGTTGAAAATGCATGGATATTTATGCATTAAAGATTTTATTTTCTGTTTGGGTATCAGAAACACATTTTTACTCTTCTTTTTTTCCAAATTCCAATTAAGATTTTCCGTAACACAACAAAAAGTTTTAAAACAATTTAAAAACAAAAGAGGTCCTAGTATATTTTCCTTATCCATTCTTTACTATTTGCTTTAGATCGAAAATGTCGATAAAATGTACCAATGGAGTCAACAGGAAATAAATGAGGATAAACCTATCTACCCTACCCATGATTTACCTTTCGTGATTGTTAGTTGATTTGTATTAAACAAAAGCTTATTTATCTATGAAAATCGTGTTTGCCATTCAGATTGCGTGACTTAAAATGAGCACATGCTACATACACACATACGTATGTCCTTCCGTCCTTCCGTCCGTCCCACATTTTTGTCCGGAGCATATCTCAAAAGTATTTGAGATATCAACTTGAAACTTCCTAGGTGAATAGACCATATTGAGGAGGAGTGCGGTGTACATTTTTTCAGTTATTGCCCTTTGTTATTTTTCATACTTAATTTTTCACCTGAGTTGAGCAAAACTAAAAAAGTCTTTGAGATGTCAACATATAACTTCATTGGTGGATTTTACTTATTGAAAAGGAATGCTGCAATAATGATAACTCTACCCGTTATAATTTTTATGCTGTAATAATGATAACTCTACCCGTTATAATTTTTGAGTTATTGCCCTTTGTTATTTTCCGGAGCTTATCCCAAAAAGCGTTAGTGGTATCAACTTGAAACTTCATAGGTGGATAGATCTCATTGAGGAGGAGTGCAGCACATAATAATGATAACCTACCCTGCATTATTTTTCAGTTATTGCCGTTTGTTATTTTCAGCCATCAGTATTCACATAGGTTTCACATCTGTAATCACTTCAGCCATACCAAAAGACCTCTTAAAATTGAATTATTCTGCTCTACTACATATACATTCTTCCAATGAACAAACACATTCGGCGGGGGATGGCCATGTTAATATCTATTACTAAAGAAAAGAAAATATAAATATTTACGACAATAACATATTTATCTTGTAAATCGTTGCGGACGGTTTTCAGCGTTTTTGAGAACTATCAGGATAAGCCTGTATATAATAGATTCATATTTCGATAGTTTTATCACGTATGCTCATACTGGTACATTTTCAACAACGTGCATTCAAATTTATTTCTGTAATCAAAGATATAAAACTAATAGACAAGTTAAGAATTTCTACTTGAAATAAAAAAGAAGCCTAACACGTGGTACAAATGATAACTAATATTGCATATCGGATATGTTTTATTCCAGTGTTTACAGAAAAACGGCGCGTTGTCGGACTTTCGCCGAGTCGTCCTGTCGCTAAAGATGTACGCCAAACGGCGCGTTGTCGTGCGGCGTGTTGTCGCAATGTCACATTGTCGCTCGGTTCAAATCGAAGAATTGACTAATAAGCCAAGTGACAGGGCGACATCGCGCCACACGACAACGCGCCGTTTGTATTGGCGTGCTTCGGTCGAGATCGGTCGTGTTGTCGCCATCGACAAGACGAAAAGGCGACAACGATATTATGTTGCGTTGTCGCTATCGACAATGCAACGCGCGATGTACCAAATCAGCCACCATAGTAAAGTGGAGACACATTCGTATTTTTGTCATAACAGGGGATGTAACTCCTAAACGTTTACCAAAGGTAGCTGATACTGTATTTACTTCCCTTATGTCAGCACGGAGGTAAGTCGTATCCATCTGTTATGTTTTCATAAAAAAATGCTTTTGATCAGTATAAAGGTGATTTTATACGTTTTGTTTACATGTGTATTAATGGTATAAATATCAAGTTCTGGTTTAAGAAATCAGTTAATAAGTTGCATGGTTTCAGCTGAAGTAATGCTACTCTTATACGGGGTTTGTCTGAGTTTTTCAATTAGAGAAGACCTATTAAGTCAGTGACAGATTTATGGAATGTGCTATATATATAATGCTGACACTCTGAACTGGTAACAGCGTTGGTTTGGGCAGTGCATCTATGTGACTACCAATTTGAGAAACAATGCTTGATTTAGAAGTGTTGAGCCTTGCAGTTTAAGCTTTGGCATGTCAGTCCATTGCCAACCGATTGTTTACCCTTTTTAAGGATTATTTGTGGTTCTAAATGTTGAGGCCTTTTTTGTATAGAATGACTCAAATATAATAATAGTTATTTCATCCGAAGTAGAGGAAAGTATGTGCGTTGTATGATAAGAATCAATATGTATCGTACAGTACTAAACTTAACAATAATCTTGCAAACGAAGAAGGTCGTTGTCGCAGCAGTGGTAGGTCTGATTGAAAATGTATTCATTGTCACATGAATATATAAGAGGATGAGTACCATTCTGTCCTTGTTTTTCCACTGTATCGCCGTATTAGAAATGTTTGTTTTGAAAAATAGCATCATGTCTGAAATGTTTGGTACTTTGTATCGACAATAGTTCAATGACATCTAAGTCTTGATATAAACAACTAAAACACAACACAAAGTGTGTCTTCACTGTTTAATTTACTAATTCCAGGTGCGCTAGAGCTTCATATATTTAGGCGGGAATGCATGTTACAGGAAATCATGGCTGTATAGATAGATGATCAGTACATAATTCTACAATGTCCAACTTTTGCTGCACAAAGTCTGGACTGAGCCAGTAAGGCAGGTTAAATTTTAAGTCTCGCAGCTCATTTCGCACATGCGTCTTATAAAACAAGCAATTGAATATAGAAGGAACATAAAAACTATTAATTATAATCTTTAAAATTTCTGAAATGGAAATCTACTGAAACACTGAATTATTTAGGATGTACTATCATTTTCTTTGTAAAACTAGTTTATAAACTTTAAATATAATTTCCATAACCAGTTAAAACCTGTAAGTCCTAGCAAAGTATAAACTCCGAACAACTCAAGTATAAACTCCGAACAACTCTCAATAAAGTGACTTTATGCGTGACGAAATGAATTTTAATATCGTTACAAAAGCTTTTACAAAAGCTTCCGATCGGTTAACTTCCTACTTTACTTTTTTTCTGAAAATAAATCTTAACAGTTATCAAAAATGCGTACTACAAATTTAATTTTCACTGCATGAATTGTATACGAGTAATTACATAAATTTCATACTTTTTGAAATGGATCTCAAAAGGTTAAAGCAGCACGCCTCCAGATTCAAGCTAATTTTCATGAAAATTTTGAAAAATTATTTAAATGTGTAATATTGTGAAGTAACCAAAAGGAAGCAATTTACACATTATCAATGGCTTTTTCAAATCACGTAAATTACCAAAAAGGGGTCAAAATAATATGCATTAATAGCCTTTACTGCGTTAGTAACGCAGTAGAAATATACAGTGTAGTTGTAAATACTGAAAAATCAGTCATTAATCACATATAATATGTAAAATATTACTTGAATTTTGAAACTTTTTACTTTTCCTTACATCTGAGTACATCTTTCTCAAGTTTGATTTTATTGAAATATTTGGACTCATCTGGAGGCATGTAGGCGAAGACGGTGTTTGAAAGGAAATGAGAACCTACTGGTTTAGTGATCACACTGGAGCCGGCTGTTTTTAGTTAGCTGATAAAGTGATTCAAATTACAACAAATAAGTAATTAACAAAAAACGTTTATTATAACGAAAAGCATACAGAATATGAGCCGCGTCACGACAAAACCAACATAGTGCGTTTGCGACCAGCATGGATCCAGACCAGCCTGCGCATCCGGTCTGGTCTGGATCCATGCTGGTCGCAAACCCATTATGTTGGTTTTGTCGTGACGCGGCTCATATTATGAATGGAATCAATTTGACATTTTCTGAAACAATATCTAGACTGGAAGGCATTATGTGTACATGTTTATATCTTGTATACACTTTAAATATCAGAAATAACAAATTAAAGTGGAACAAATTTCAACAATATAATAAAGCTGATCAACATATAAGAGGCGCATTATAAAACATTTATTCCCTTATTAATAAAACAACTAAAATATTCACATGTTTTAGTAGTAAACTTTAAAATATCAAGTCACTCCTCCCAAACCCACCATAAAATGACCTTATCATGAATAAAATATAGGTTGAAAAATTATTTTTCGCATGCCCTATTGTTAAATATCCGTTTGCATACATGTATTAGCAAAATATCGTTTATTATTTATCAGATTTAAACGATTTCACTTTACTTAAAATCACGTATATTCAAATAACCCTTCAATGAAAGTTTGACATGTTTGGCAATTTTGTAAACATTCAGAATTACAATTAACAAAGATAATACTTGATGCAAATAATAGCACAAAATATCCGGTAACTATTAATGAATAAGCCTTAGTGCTCGAGAAAAAGGCTATACATATATAAATGAAATAAGATTTGAGCATAAGTGATCACAGAAACACACTGTTTACAAACCATGGTAAAATAAAATAAAACAAGAACGTCATATGTTTAGCACAGCAGAAAAAAAGATATTATGACAAGGAAATTAGTGATGTTGAGTATAGTATTATTCTAGCAAGTCTGTAAGTCACTTTTGTTATTTGATGCCACCCGTTCTTATATGCGATTTGTTCAAAGCCTTACTTTGAGAATTAATCAATTATGTTATTTTAAAATCGATACTACGTTTAAATTAAAAAAACAAAAACAAAAAAACAATTCAAGCCAAAATCAATGGTCGTACTTTTTTACATTTGATATTTTGCAGTCTTTTTATGTATTATAACTCAATTTTCCTTTTTCTAGTCCCACCAACAGTAGAAACAATGTATACAATCATGTATAAGTATAAGGTAATTGTTTAAGTTGCCACAAAAATCACTTGCTGACCATTGATATCCCTCCATGCTTTATTGCATGGGCGAATGGGACATATGAGCTGACAGGAAACAGATCAAAACCTCTCACTTTCCGTAAGCTAGATGGATAGCTTTCTTACATGAAATAATTCAACTTCCTAAGAGCCAAGAGTTATAGCTTTAAAGTCAGGTACTTCAATGTATCTGGAAAAGATGCTCAAATCTCTAAAGATACACACCCCTAAAGAAAACCAAACAATAAAACATGTTGAATTTGTACTGAAACATTGTACTGAATCATTCGATATGTTTAATATTCAGCCTGGATATAAAATTATGTCATTCTATGATTGAAAAGGACACAGCACAAATGCAATCAAATACAAATTAATATCATGGTAATCTTAAGGGATAATAAAACATCTGATGAAAATCGTCTGCTGTAGGCGTTATAACTATCTTTTTAAGGCTTGGTAAAATTAACAAGACACATTCCAAAGAAATAAAAATCAATAAAAATACGGCACTCTTATTATCTGAATCTGGAGTCAGTTTCCAACAACATCACATTTAAAATGTACCCGTTTTTTCTACATTTTAATCCTTACACATAATATTGATCACAGCCGGTCCGTGGTCGTTATAGTCTTCTCGTGTGACCCATTTTGAGCTCATACTGTCCAGTGATGCCATGATAGAGCCCCCACACCATGCCGAGTAACGGCGTTCGTCGTGGGGGATTTCCTTCACTTTAACGCCGAGACCGGACGGAAATATTTTGTTCATCTCTATTTGCATTCTCATTGTCATCCCAGAGAACATGGTGTTTCCCCCAGAGAAAACTATATTCTTACATGCAGACTTTCGTATATCTGGTTCGGCAAGGTTCAAAGTTCTCTCTATTTGCTGGTGAAGACCCGGACAATTGCAATGAAACATTGATGGCTTGAATAAACCCTCGCCACACATTAGCCTTTCTTCATTGAGTCGTATGGATTCGCCGTCTGGTAGAGTGTAAATTCTTTCATAAAAATCGGTAGATTTTGCCAACTTTAAATCGGCTTCGTAATCTTCCGAGACGAACACTAACTTTTCTTTAATTGCTTTTGAGTATGGCAGCGGATCTACTGTGAATGTTTTATTTTTTATCTGAGATATCATTTTTGATAGATAATAAGTCAATGACTTGCCTGCATAGAAAGTCTTTGGTATTGTTTCTCTAATGAGATGTCCCTCGTACACAACACTTGTGTATGTGGAAGAATCTCCGGACTCTACGACAGTCCCTGTCGTCAGTCCAGAACTGAGCAAAGATAATACAGATGTGTCCTGAAGATAGAGTGATGGTACATCCAAATACTCGAACATTATTTCAGATAACTTTTCCCTCATATAATTTGGATTTAAAGGCGATTCGGCTATAAATACGTTTTGTTCCTCGGAATTTACTTCTAATTTTGTCATAGTCTTGTCATAAACATCTTGCATTACGTCCCAATCTACCACAATTCCATTTTCAATCGGGTGAACTTCAAGCAGACGACACTGTTTATGACCCGGAAGTTCAATGTCAACTGCTTTAACCGATGGTCCAATTTCAGTGTGTTTGTCATCAGCCTATAAATAATCAGTAAAGTATGCAATAAAACGATTTAAACTTGTTTACGTAATAAAACGATTGGTGTTATGATGTTTTTCCCTTTACAAGTGCATATCATTTGACTGAAGACAATAAAATGCAAAAAGCAAAAACGCTGCAATTATTGTTTTTCGATCAACAGCTTCTCTGTTATAAACTGATAACTTATAATGTTTAATCAGAGAAAAATCCGTAAATGCATATTATAACTATTAGCAGTAAGAAAATTGTTTTTTAAACTAAAACGATTGGTGTTATGATGTTTTTCCCTTTACAAGTGTATCTCATTTGACTGAAGACAATAAAACAAGTACGCTGCAATTATTGTAGTATAGATCTAGCTTACTTTTTCGATCATCAGCTGTTTTATTATAAACTGATTATCATTATGGTGACATATTTCTGCCACCAGATAACCATATAACTAACTAGTTAATTAAGAGGTTAACTAGTTACGTAACTAGTTAACCCCTTAATTAACTAGTTGGTTATGTGGTTAACTAGTTACGTATTTTTTCCAATAAATAAAAGATCATAACGGGATATAAATGCATGTTATTGCCTACGTACTATATAACCTCTTAATTAACCAGTTAGTTTTATGGTTATCTGGTGGGAGAATTATGCCACCATACATTATACAGTACGAATTATACTTAAAATGTTTGATCAGAGAAAAATCCGTAAATGCATATTATAACTATTAGCAGTAAGACAGTTTTTTTAACTAAAAAGGCAATGTTTAAGGGGTTATGTTCTACATATGATAACAGAATTATACTAATTTATACAATACATGTACGAGTATGTAGTCATATAGTCACGGATCCACAAACAACAAAATGAAATATTAGTGTAAAGTTTACATGACACATTATTATATACATATAATTATGTAAATTTTAAAATCAATATGATATGAATATTAACATGATTATAAAGCTTGGAGAAACTTTTCAGTAGACCAAAAATGCAAATCACGTCACATTTTGTTACATTTTAAAATTTAAGTATTTCTCAAAAACATGCGCTTTAGTGAAATATTGAAATAATCATCTAAATTGCACGTGAAGCTCGTTCTATTACTAAAGCACAAAAACCACGCGCATACATATTTAGTTCAAACATGTGTGCATTTAAGAACATTAAAACCTCGCTGAAAATCTCGAAGAGTTTCATGGACCTTAATCTTTACCGGTACATGGAGCTATATAAATATATGTATGTCTAAGGTATTTTAACATGTTACATATAACATTTATGCTATGAAACTGTTGTAGCTTTTGATAATGCGGGGATATAAATAATTTTAGGAACATTGAGGGCATTCAAGAATTTTTTAAGTCAACGACTATTCAGGCATCAGGCAGATATAAAATGCACCATGAATAAACACTACGTCCTACTACAGATCTACTTAAGTATTGTAAAGAAACCGATTTCATTTTAAGATAACATTAAATAACAAAAAAAAAAAAAAAAAAAACAGGAAGAACAATTAGGCACTTAAATTTCGAGTTATACAATTCGTTAAATGTTTGCAAGGGATGACAATTTCTAAAAAGTCGTTAAAATGCAATTTTGTAAAAAAATATACATTTCCGACAAAAGAAGTTTAAATGATAAATATCTCATATTCTATGCAAGGTGCAAACAACTTATGTATTAGATTTCTAGTTTGAAATATATAACATCTTAGACGTAACTTTGTAGAAAATTAAGCTATGTACATTCAACAAATTCTTACGAGCGTATCGTAATAATTATCTATACATCGTTATTTATTTAGATCCAAGTTCATTGTATTTAATACGTTTACCGTCTACGCTTTATAGATAATCATTATGTAGCCGATTCACAACAGTGACTGAATACCTTAATTAACTTACATTTTGGATTCTTTAGAAAATAAGACAGTTTAAGAAAATAGGAACGCACGATAAAAGAGGTGTGAACGATAATTATGTCACAGTATGTAAGTTAACTGTGTTCACTAGACTATGTACAGTATATGTAGACTACTTTTATTATTTAGTTCACTAGGTTACGAATTATTCATCCGAACTTGTCAATGTACTGTATACAGTTATTTTACAAACCTTGAAGATAAGGTCACGGCACACAAGTTTTGGATAATCGTCCCCAGCAAATCCAGCCTTAAGTGTGTCACTCCCGGGGTCAATAACGACAGTATTTCGTTTCTCTGTAGGCTTCATAGTCATTATATTAAACAGTTAATAATCCATTCGTCTTCTCTAAATAAAATAAAATATATTTTTCCAAACACCGTGTTGCATCTTTATTTAACTATTAAATCCTCCTGTCCACAATTAGGTCATGTACTTAACCAATCATATTTCATTAGACGAGGTTATTTTGACATTTATGAACGTATAAATGTACTACAACCAAAAGGAAAGTAGATTATTAAGTTCGTACAGAGCTAACATATTTTATCGATTACAGAATATTCGTATTTTACGTTAGTCAAAGATACCTTGATTTACAAAAGATGTCTCGTTATAACCGCACACCTGTATATTATAATTATATACATTTATTTATATATAAACAGAAACAATGTACATATGCTTGCTTCGCATAACACAGCCATAAACGTATAGCATATAAAAAGCTTGCTAATTTTTCTTCTCGATAAGAATACCAGTTTTCAATTTCTTCTTTCCGTAGTCGCTCGTTGCTCAGCAACATCTTAGATAAATTAGCACACCAACTTTCAGTGATAATCAAATAAGCTTACCAATAGGTTCTTCTTAAAGTATAAGATTTCTATAAAGTGTTATCTTTATTGGGTTTGATTCCCGTCGCTCAGCAACATTTTACAGAAAATAACACCCTATAAACTGCTTGATAATCAATAATCAAAGACTTCCACTAGCTAATCCTCGTCCCTCTACATATTTTGGACCTTTAATGCACGAGCTGGAAACAATTGTAGATAAGGCCTAAAAATTCCCGTCCTTCGGGGAACCCAATACTACTTAGCCCTCATGTTTTAGTTAAAGTATGCGACATGTTTCGCAATGTAATCATGACCTTACTTTATTAATATTCTTGACTTAAATAGATTTTGTACTTAAACCTAACACACAAATAGTAATGCATTTTATGGATGAATGAATTAAGTCTGTTCTTAAGACCGGTCTGTGGCTAGTTTGTACAATTACATGAAACGACAACTCTTGTAGTGTTCTTTTTATTACATGATCATTATTATACAGCCAAACACACACCACCGTCCCAGCAAACTCGCCATTTCATAGACCAAATTTTGTAGAGGTATCGCATTAATATCAAGCTGTATTGTGGGATAAAAACAACAATGTAACAAATAACTTTTTAACAATACTACAATGTATATCAGTGATAGTACTGAAATCAACTAGAAACTTCAGAAGGTATCTCAATCTTATTCAATAAAAGATAGTACTGTACTAGGTTTCAAGGCCCTGCAGGGCAACAGAGCTCTTCTTCAAATTCTGATATTTCAGATCCCAAACTACTCTAACTGAAAAAAGCTTTCCCAACTAGATTGCCTGTAAAAAGGAAAACGTCTTTTTGATAGCATTGCATACATTTATACTTTGATTATCCATTTTACAGGAGTCAGCCAGTTAAAAAATAACCAAGATTTGCACGTGAAAGTACATGTATAATATACCGGGTTATTAAACAAATGTACCAAAAAAATTTTTATACCCCCAAAAATTTTGCATCCTTTTTTTAAAAAAGGAAGCATGCGGTAGACGTTCTTTCTGCAGTCTTTTGGGAAGATTTGTTTTATTCGAAAATATTTGAAGATATTTGCATAAAAGGCACAATGATAAATATTTAAATTACAATTATTTAACAAAATAGATTTTACATAAAAATGTTTATATCATTTGACTGGAATAAACAGTATATAAAGCTGCGTGCCTCCAACCACAATATTTGAAGAAAATCAAACTTGAGTAAAATTTATGCTATATGCGCCAAAAAATCTCCGTTACGTTATTTAGTCATACAAGTTTAAAAGGAGCAGCAAAATTTCGGTACACGTAATAGTGCATGGTGATATTGAAGTTATAATGTTCACTGTTACTATTTATCGAAACATGAAATAATAAAACAATACGGAAATCGATTTATACAGTTTAAAAGATTAAAACGAAATGGAACTTCAACGTAGCGCTAAATAACGTAAATGATATTTTTCGATTTGTCTATGTACCGATGTTAATTTTTCGTTTAAGTTAAGTCGTATTTTGAAGCGGAGCATGCGCATAACAAATTTTGTAGACTGCTCCTAATGATTTTACGCTTTAAATGAGATTCATTCACTACAATCAGATACGCAAAAATAGATGCCGCCAGCAATCAATCTGAACACTGTGGAGAGGTCTGATCAATACTGCGAATTCACTTACTAGTAATCTTTCCAACGGTTTATTGTATTTTCTGATCGTAAGATCAGTAAATACATAGCTAACATCCACGGTCTAACACAAAATTTCCTAACAGTCCTAACAACGCAAAGTAGTTCTCACTCAAAACTGCTTAAAAACCAGCAATTTAAAAGAAAGAATAATTTTAATGTAGGCATTTAACGAATTACAGTGCATTAAAAGTTTAGATTAGTCAACAGAAATATGAGGTTACAATCACAAATTTCGCGGATGAATATCTTTTTTACCCAATGAAAAATGTTCGGCTATTTCCGTAAAGCTTCGGATTATCATGAATATCATTTTAATCAATGAAAATGCTATTTTTAGCTATGTCGATTACCGAATACTCCAGAGCGTAGTACACAAATAAATCTGACTGTCGAGTAGTGGAATATATACATGTCGGACTGTTTTGGCGAGAAGATTTTCGCTAAATTATTTTCATCAGTGTTAAACAACAGGTTTATCGTGAACAAAATACCTCGAAATTAATAAGGATTACAAACACGAAATGGAAATTCTCAATTTAGAATTACATAATGTATTCGTTTTTATTCAAGGTACATATGTATAACTTCGCCGTGGTGCAGAGGTAAGCGGTCTCGTTGAGGGTGTGAGAGGCCTATGGTTCAAATCCTAGTCGAGGCAATTCTATTTTTTTTTTTTTCATGCAAAATTCCATATGTATCAATCTCAATCTGTTATAGAAGAAAATCAAAACGCTGTCGCTGCGTAAGATGAATTATAGTATATAAAAATAAACTTATACAGGAAAGTACATACAGATAGTCCGTATGATTTAGATTGCAAAAATCAGAAAATACCATAGAGCTGCAGCCCTTTGATTATACATGTACTTTCGCATGCAAATCTTGGTTAATATTGAGTTGTTGCCACTTATAAATATGTCCCTTGTATGTTAAACGATTTGATCTGAGCATGCATCCCTAAAACACTATAGTATATTTGTCATTGCTTCTATAGTTTTCATTAAGTTACTCTTGGCCATGTTTTCGAACTTGGCCTAGAGTTCATATTATTTGTAACCAAAACAAATATGCTACTTAAATGTATTGCTAAGACAACCAGTATATTAAATCCCGATTAGTATACATGTATTATGATTACCTAGAAATCCTCCTTAGTCATTCGATTGAAGCTGTGGCAACATTTTAGACCGCACCTAACTGATATAACAAATTGAGCATACGCCAGGAACCAGGGCTCATAAGAACGGAAGCACGTGCTGGGTCTACGACAAAAGGCATTATAATGGCTAATGGTGTTTAAATTGAGCTGTTTCCATGGAAATGCCGTTGTGAACAATGCGATTTTAAGCACAAGGAAATTAAGTAATCAGTAATGTTGTTGGAATTTAGCGACAACATTCAAAGTATTTAGCAAAGATTGCCCGATCCGACAATCGCCATTCCAATGAGAACGACAGTGATATACAATCTGAATCTCGTTCCTGAATCAAACTTTAAAAAATTATAAATGAAACAGACATCGTGTTTTTCTTAAATTTGTCTTCGTTAATTAGTTCTTTGCTGCTTTTGTGTACTTTGCTGCTTTTGTGTAGGACATGAGCATTATATTTGGTGCTATGTATTCATAGTGTATAGTCTGCAAATATAACGCAAGATTGTGCAAGAAAAAAAAACCCAGAACAACAATAAAAAGTCCCGCCAAATTGAAACCAGTAAAACATAACAAACAGAACGTAAACGGACTGCAATATTGTATACTGAGTGGAATAAAAAGGAATTATAACAATACAGGCATTGGGTCATATTCGTATACTTTAGTTGTAATTTTGAGCGTGTGGGCAGTGTTGTTTCCAGATTTGATCATTAGGTGCAATTAATGCAATATACCGGGTATGATTGTTATTTTCTTCAACGTATGCCATATTCCCTTGATATGCTAACAACAGATTAATTGCTTGTGCTAAGATTTTTTAAATGTTTATAGAAAGCGAGTCGTTAAAGACGGGACACCATTGATAAAAACAAATATTTGATGATGAAAATACAGAAGTCGAAAAACGGTTTCGTGCGCATTTTCTTCTTTATTTTCCTTTTAAACTTTTACACTCCGAATTCCATTCTCTTTATGAGACATGAATGACAACTCAGAGTTTCATCATAACACATAGAGCATTTTACGTCAAAATTCTAGTGTGACAAAAAAATGTAAAAATATTTGATTTACTATACATATGTATGAAAAATATATTTGACATTTTAAATAGATTAATTGGAATGAAACTCGTGCGGTTGCGTGTCTTTCAAGTATAAGGAACATTTTTACTAATACTTCCACTCATACCAGAAACACGAGGGTGTGTATTTCCTTTTTCACAGGTGTGTTTTAACAAGGAATTATAAGAACTTTGGAAATCTGAAATTTTGTTTTTGTTTATTATAAACAAGAATTAACTACAGGCCACACATGTGTTAGTCATTAAAATTTTAATACCCGTTATCCAATAGTGTATCAAAGGACAGATTAACTGCATAATCAAGATTAGCCTTCGGGTGACATGGGTTAAGTGATTTTGAAAGATTACACTTTTAGTATCTGACGGGAATAGTGACTAGATGCAAGTTTTTGTGTGCCGCAACACTGTAAAATGACTTGAGCATTGATTTTGATAATAAAGTGTTCCTTTTATCAATTAAGAGGCATTACTTGCCATTTGTGATTTGAATGGAGAAAATTGTCTATGAAATTTGATAGTTTGAATAACAAAGACATCGTTTATCATAATTACGTACTGACAGTAAGTGAATTGGTTTTATTGATAGGACATATATTTGATATCAGTCAGACTCAAAGTAAGATATTAATACGAACGCGAGCAAAACAAAGATGGATTCTAATTTAAAATATTTCATCGCGATTTCGGAAAACAAACGAAAAGAGATGGAGCTTAGAGGAACGGAATCTAAAATTGACGAATTAAAGAAGAAAATGTTAACGCGTTA